CTTCTTCCCACCTGCCCCACCACACCCTTCCACCATGATTTTCTGCCCACCTAAAACTATAATGGAACCACTCAACCATGGACAAAAACCTCTGAAACTGAGAGCCAAAATAAAGCTTTCCTCCCTTTGTTTCCTCAGGTATTTTGTCACAACAACAGAAAGCTAACACACCCATTCTGTGGTATTCTGTTGTTAACTGCAGAAAATGAACTAAGACAAAGGACACAGCTGTCAGCTGAAAGTGAGCGGAGGCCTGGTCCTTCCAACACTCCTGGTAAGCAAACATGCATTATGTGACCACAACCCATCCCAAATGTGTATTTCTTTTATTATTATCACTATTCTTTGTGGTACTGGGGATTGAATACAGGACCTTTGTACTAAGCTGTATCCCCAGCTCTTTTCTATTTTTTATTTTGAGACAGAGTCTTTCTAAATTTCTAAGTTGCCCAGGCTGAGCTAGCACTTGGCAATCCTCCTGCCTTAGCCTCCCACAGTGCTGGGATTACAGGTATATGCCACCATGCCTGATGCAAATATGTATTTATTAATGAGATCAAAGAGCCATCTTCTGAATGAATCTTGTTCAGGCTTCATGAGATATCTTGAGATGTCTCCAGACCAGACCAGTCTACCATTCCTGGTGTGACACCCACCTGCCCATTGCCCTGGGATGTGTTACTCAGACATTTCTTAGCACTTAGAATTTTCTATCTCTGGATTTACTGAGCAATCTATATTTCTTAGAGCCAGGCAGCCATGCTCTGGAAGTGATAGCAGCTCTGCAGCTTCAGCTGAAGGACCTGTCTTTCCTCCTCTGGGTTCCCATGGAGTGCTATCACAGGTTATGTTATAGCTAAAGAAACTGATACATCACAGAACAGTGAAGGGTCTGAAAACCTGGCCTACAGGAAGAGAGATAACTCAGGACCATGTGCTAGAAGCAGTATGGGTACTGGGTGCCAATGATATGAGAAATGATATCAGGACCTCCAAATATGAGATAAGGGAAATATAACTCCCAACCTGTTACATGTCTGATATGCTGAGTTTGAGGTCTCTAAAATTGAATGAATTCTAGGAATAATGGAAGAGTAGGAAATATTTATCAAGGAGGAAAGATATAGCTCCTGGGAGGCAGGAGGGGCCCCAAACATGGGTTGCCACGGACCCCACTTCTCAGGGGAAATTTTATAGAGCACAACCACATGGGTACAATGTGGGTTACAGCTATGATCAACCAATAATATTATAAGTATAGAGCTTAGGTTACATTGATCCAATGGGGAAGCAAATCACGTAGCAAGTGTACATAGAAGGAACAAAGAACTTTTCAGGAAGGGATGAGTCTGAAGGTCTTAGTCATCCACCAAGGTGACTGATGTCTATCCAGACTTCATTAGACCAGGTGTTCCCACTTATCTTAGGCCTGGTCATTTTGTCTTTATCTTGAGGCCTGGCCTCCAACAGATGTGCCTCCAGCCACAGTTGTAATGTGTTTTTATTTTTACCCTGACTGTTTTGAGGGCCTATCTCTGTCTGACTGCCTATAATATTCCTACCTAACTTACTGTCTATAATACTATCACACAGCAAGCCTGCACACCCAGCAAGCCACACGGGGTGAGGTATTGATATCCCCCACATGAAGGGGGTGTGGAATATATGATGTTCACATACATGTTTGGGTAATGATATAATGATTAATTTGGATCTGTTTCCTTAAAAATTGACTCTGAAGGTGCTAACCCTAGAGAGATATCAGAATGAAATGGGGGCGTTGTACTTGGGCAGGACCTGGGGACAATGAGCTGGACCCAGGTGGGTTGGGGGAGCTGGTGATCTCCTCCTGCTCCCTCCTTCGCTCCAGGGTTTCAAGCAGAGCAGTGAGGACAGTGGATCCTTCCCTCCACACACATGCTCCCCTCTTCATACTTCTCCCTACCTCCTCAGCACCCCCATGCCCTTCTCCACCCACAGAAACACTCCAGCAACCTCCTATGGAGCAGATGACAGCCTGTGGCTGCCTCACAGTGCACACCCATGTGGATACTGGGTTTTAGGATAAAAACAGGCTCTCCAGCTGCTGACAGTGACTATCTGCTAGCTGAGCCCAGGATGGTGGAGACAGAAAATTGAGACAACAGTCCCAGTCCCTCCAACAGCCTCGTGCATGTTTGGAAAGCACAGGCACTGCTTCCTCCCATCTTTCCTTTTCACTCAACTCATGTGTTTTGTTCAGGTGACCTAGCCTTAATTCTAGAACAAAGGTAAATTTAACCTAAAAACAACACCTGCAAAATCTGATGGAAGTAATCCACCTCCTGTAGAAGAGGAGCTGTTATTTCCTCCCAGAAGTTGCTAGCTCTTAGCCTAGATCGACGTCCTTGGAAGCCACAGCTCTGCTGAGAGTGTCACATGACTGCACCATGGTCGTGATGCCCACTTGAGCCAGTGCAGCCATGATTGGGGTTCAGTGTAAGGATGAAACTAAAGTAAATGAGGATATGGATCCCAAACAGCATCCTGGTCCTCTCAACACTGGCATAGGCCCTATGCTGGGAGTGAGTGCTGCCCTTTGTTTGAAGTTGCTATCTCTCTGGGTGGGTACCACGTGTTTTGTCTCTGTATGATGACACTGAACAGGAGGATTCACAGACAGTGGCAATTGTTTCAAGACTCTTTGGCTTAATTGTCCCCATGCTGGGCTGCGTTGCTTCCAAGCCAGGCTCACATCTCAAGCCTGTGCCAAAGGATTAGACATGATGGTGACTACTAAGAGCGGAGACCATCCTACCATGTGCCAGGCACAGGCTTCAGCACTTGGAAGAAACAGGAGCCACAAGGAGGTGGCCAGCTAAGACTGCTCCCTGGGGAAGGGCTGTCACCTGCCTACCCTACCATAAGCAGGACACCTGGACCCAGTGCTCCTTTTCAGGTGGCCCAGGGTCCCTTAGCATCTTTTCTGGTGTTGCCAAATAGTTGTTTTCTTTTTCTTTTCTGTTTTTTCTTTCCTTTTTCACTTTTTTTCAGTTCTGAAGATTGAACCCAGGACCTCCACTCTGAGATATATCCCCATCCCTTTTTAACTTTTTTTTTTTTTTTAACTTAGAGACAGGTTCTCACTAAACTGCTAAGTTGCCCAGGCTGGTCTCGAACTTGCAATTCTCATGCTTCAGCTCCATGGAATTACAGGCATGCACCACCATGCCCAGCTTGGAGTCAGCTTTTCAACACACACAGGTCCATGTGTCCTTGGTTTCTGGAGCAAACTGCTACTGCTGTGGTAACACAGAGGGAGAGACATGCAGTGTGTGTGATGTGATCACATACCGGGAAGACAACTGTAAATTACAACAGAGACTGACTGAGGAAGACCAGAACATTGGTCACAAAGAGCTGACTTGGGATGGTGAAATCTGAAGCAAGGCTGTCCACAGCAGGGTATCCTGGGAGGTCAGTTCTTCCCAAGGCCAGACTGCCCTAGCTGGCCTGTGCATCTGGTATGGGATGCCTGTTCTTACCATTGGTCTCTACACTGTACTCTCCCAACACGTGTGGCCCAGAGGAGCCAGTGCACTATAATGGAGACTAGTTCTCAAAGCATGCCCCAGAGACACCTCAAAGTCACCAGGCCCTTCAGGATCTTAGTTTCTACTCTGAATACAGAAAGTGTTGATAAACACAACCTCACAGAAACAAAGGCTTTCTGGCGTCTCTTAGTAATTTTTAAGAGCTTAAAAGGGATTTGAGGTCAGAAAGTGTGGAAACTGACACAAAATTTTCTGTTACTTAGACCAGTTCTTGCTACATGCTTAAGCAGATCTAAAACTATTTCCTAAAGATTCTCTGTGGAATTTTTCAGGTTTTCATGAAATTCACCTCCACAGGCAGGCTGGTCCAATGTGGACAAGAGAGAAGTTCAGTATTACTTCTCAGGCCTTCATCAAGGACTAAGTGACACCAAGAACATGTCTGCATCTTGAGAAGCTGCACCGAAAAATACTGTCCACTATATCCTATGTAACATATTCATATAACAAAGATTTTACCCAAGAAAAAGTTCATCTCTTATAATGCATTAATATTTATTAAATACTGACATTATATACCTCATTACTTTTAACTTTGCCTCTGCTCCCAAGAAGCAAAGAGCTAAATTTTGTGTTCGTGATATAAATGATGAATGAGTGTGAGACAAAGTAAAACACAGTAGACTTTTGTTTTTCAGTTCTACAAATGGAAGCCAGGACCTGAAGAACGCCAAGCACACACTCTAGCACTAAGCTACAGCTGTAGCCAATAGTTTTTATTTTTTAACTCCTCAGGAAAATAAAAGGGCAATTTCCACCAAAGATGTGAATTAAATGGTTAAAGAGAAAAAAATCAGATTTTGCTCACAAGTTCCAGAGAATGTTTGTGAATATCAAAGTTTTTTTGGTTTTTTTTTTTTGAGATAGTGAGAAGTTCCAGTTGACCTTGAGCTGGGTAATAGGCAGGCATGTCCTCACACTTTGCACTCTACCTCACCCTTTTGTTATCCCACCATACAGAAGAGGGGACAGCCACCTAGACACCATTTAATATGACTTCTCTCTTTTTAGTAATCTAATAGTCCTGTTTGCTGTTCAAACTGACCCTTTAACCTTTGATTGCCATGATCTATCACTCTGAAAATATTTTAGGCAAAAGCAATTTGTTTCAGTGGATATGTTGTAGTTCTTCATCTGGGGTCCACAAGAGCCCTAAAATATACACAAATTATGTGCAAATTTTTTTGTTATGTGTTACATATTTTTAGGACTATATTGAAATACAACTCTTGAGGATTTCCAAAACCTCAAAGTGATATTGCCAGGGTGAACAAATACATAGTTTTCTTTTTTTCTTTTTGGTGGTACCGGAGATCAAACTCAGGACCTTCACAGCTTTCTCATATACTATTTATCATTAGAATTCTTAACTGCAAGTAATTTCTAGTAGTAATTAAAACTACTAACCTTTGGCAATCCCAGTAAACCACAGAACTGGAGGCTGAGCAGTGCTTTGGCAAAAAATCTCATTCAGGGCTGGGGATTTAGCGCAGTGGCACCACACCTGCCTCACAAGCGCAAGGTCCTGAGTTCGATGCCTAGTACAAAAAAAAAAAAAAAAAACTCATACAAATTCTGAATACCTCAGAGATCTGCCCAGTTCTCAGCATCCTCCCCAAGGAGAAACACAAGTCCTGGAATCTCTCTTTTATTTGAACATTAAGAGATCGTAGCACAGTGACTTAGAAAATGTTCTCAGAAAGGGAAAAATGGAAACAAAGTCTTTGTAAATAGGGAAGGGTGGAGTGAGTGAAGGGAGCAGAGGGAATGGGGAAAAAACAAAAACCAAGATACATCATGTACAGGTACAAGCACCCAATGATAAATGTAAACGTATTGTATACCTAAAACATACCAAGAAAAGAATTTGAGCGATTAAAAAAAAAAAAAGAAAATGTTCTCAGACTGTCAGCAACAGCAGTGAACAGACCTTGGTGCAGGAACAGACTTCTTCAGCTTTTACTCGGGGTCATTAACAAAGAACACAAGTGCTCCCCTCATCTGCCTTCAAAGTGAAGAACAAGGCACACACACTGTTGTGAGTAAATATACACCAGAAAAGCCTACTTGCTTTTGTATTGTGGATAGTTAAGAAGGAGACAAGGGCACAGGAAACCTGGAAGAAAGGAAATCAAAACAGAGGAACAAATGAGCATATACAGGCAGGCATACAGGCAAGCATACAGGCGAGGAGCACCTGTCTCTTCAGGAGGCCAGGCCACCAAGAAAATTGGGCCAGGGATTTAGCTCAGCGGTTCCACCGCCCGCCTTGCAAGCGCAAGGTCACAAGTTCGATCCCTGGTACCAAAAAACAAAAACAAGAAAATCTTCAAAATGCTGTAATCATAACCAAGGGCAGAAATCTGGGCATCTGAATTGCTGGTATTTGCATTACATTACATGCAAGGAGGCTAAGTGACTCTGTGCCTGCCCAGAGCTCAGTCAGCTCCTCTCCCCTGCTCCCCTGTAGCAGGCCTCACACTGGAACAGCAGGAGGGGGAACAGGATCCTGGCAGAGATCATGCCTCCACTTCGGCCAACGTGGCTAATTTGCCTCTATGGCATAAATCTATTCCTTGTAAGTAAAAAAAGAAGTCTGCTTTCAAAGAAGGGTCAGAAAAGAGCAGTTACTCAACAGGTGAGGTTTTTGTTTTTTGCAATTCATCTGGAGGCTGATCTAATGACCACTGAATCAAATGCCTCATGTCTGATGAGAGTTGTGTCAGGAACTTAGAAAGTCAGAGAGAGATTAAAGATCTCCACAAGAAAAAAATATACAACTGGTTTTTAAAAAGTAAGGCTTCAATTTAAAATACAATTAAAATTTGACACATTAAAATCTAACAAGATCAACATTAACCTGGTTATTGACTTATAAAATAAGTAAAAATTGAGGTAATGCATTACTCTTCTATAACCAATCTTATTGGATTATAACATTTTATCTCCTTCCATGTAACTTTAGCGTTAGATACACTCATATGCATGGAAGAAATATCTAGAAGTCAGCCTCCAGTTACTGGGGAAAGGTGTGGCTACTAAGGAGAGAGAGGACTTTTACCCTTAATTCAAATAATAAGTATCACTATGTACAACAATATACCACCACCAACCACATCACTGATTTCACAGTGAGGAAAATCTAACAACATGTAGCCTCCCACATGGTCTCCTGCTGTCCCCCAGGTAAACTGCTCCTGTGCCCCAGGCCTGCGCTGCCTGGGCGACACACTATCTGCACTTTCTCTCCTCAAGGTCATGTTTCTTCCCCTGCCACAGTACACATTTGATAAGCTTTCTTCAAATAAAGACCACATTTTTAACAAAAGCCAACCCTCACTCCTGCTCCTGCCCTGATCCACCTACTGAAAACAATTCCCAAGACTGTGCTCCAGGGAACAGCATGTGTAGGAGCGTGTGCAGGTGTGTGTGATTTGGGTATGTGTGTCTGTGGCTTTGCACAGACGTGATTCTGTGTACCTGTGATTGTGTGTGCATGTTGCGTGCATGGGCATATGTGACTGTGTGTGTGCCTGAGCAAGCCCTCACTTGGCACAAAGAGCAAAAATCCTTGAAGATCCACCTGTGATGTAACGGCCTCGTTCCTACTGTTTCCGAAATCGGAAATAGGATTAACTTTTCGTTTTCAGGCTTTCCAACACCTCCGACATTTTTCTGACGTGGGAAAAAGCAAAATCATAAACGAAGCACCATGTCCCCGTTGCATGACAGGCAGCCACTCTCCTGGTCATCTCCATGGCGTTGGTCACCTGAGGCCTGTGTCCAGAGTGACGCCCACGGGAGGTGGAAGTAGCGCAGGGCCTCCCCGCCCCCGGGCTGAGGGTCTCTGGGACCTCAGCAAACCTTGGGTGGGGTCTGGGAAGCAGCTCCACAACTGCGTACTCCCCAGGCCTCGGGCACCTGTGGGCACCAGGAGGAGGCCAGGCGGTACCAGCCCGCAGGAGGCAGGCCCGGGATTCGAGCAGGGCTCTACCCTGAGCAGGCTACGCGGCTCACAAGTGCCCGGGAGGTGGCGGTGGGCATCCGACAAAGCCCCTGCAAGGGGAGGTATCGGGAGGTGGTCCCGGAGAGTGGTCTGGCCTCCCAGACCCACCGGCTCACAGTGTGCTCAGATGCGGCAGCGAGCCTAAGGCTCCGGCGCGGTCACGCGCAGCGGCTGCCGACTCCACGCCGCGAAGCCACTCGGTGCATTTGCGCACCAGGCCCTCGTCGCGCACCTCGACCTCCTCCTCGTACTCCACGTCGTCATACTTGTGCCGCTCGTTGAGCAGCGACACCTGCAGCGCCGGGCGAGTGTCGGGGGCCTGCGCGCCGCGGGTGGCCGGACGGCGGGGGGGCGCGCGCCTGGGGTCGACAGAGGGCGCGGGGAGGGGCCTGCGGGGCCTGCCCAGCAGCTGCTTCTCCAGGTGGCGCCTCTGAATGACCAGGATGGCCTCGGGGGTGAGGCTCAGGGAGAAGCGCGTGGCGCCGTCGGGCCCGCTCCCTGCCGAGATTCCCGCCTGGCTATGGCCGGAGCCGGCGGGCCGGGGTGCGCTGCAAGTGGCCGAGGTCCCCGCACGGCCGGGTGAGGCCTGGGGCGGGGCGCGCGCGGGGCCCGGCGGCCTTTTCAGGGTGGCCGAGGGCCAGGAGCTGGAGAGTGGCCCCTCGGGCTTCTCGGGGGGCCGCCTCTTCTTCTCCCCGGAGCTGGCGGCTGGCGGCGCGCAGGGCCTGCGGGGCGGCGGGCGCGCGACGGGGACCCCCGGAGTGGGCGCGGGCGGGAAGGGCATGGCGCGCGGACTGCTGTCAGCGCCCTGAAAGGAGACGGGGGGGGGGGTCTTAGCTCGGAGCCCCCACGGGCCCCGCGCCCCTGTTACCCCATCTGTTGCTGAGCGGCCAAACCCCCACACCCACCTGCGTTCAGCCGCAGAATCTCCAGCCTTGGGACTTGAAGCATCGGCGCCGCCCACCTCTCCCCGCCCCTTGCGGCCGAGGGCGCCCCTCCACCTGGGGCTCCAGACTGAACCCTGCCGGCACCCACCAGCCGCCGGACCGCGGGCGAGTCCCGGCGCCACCCGGTCCGCTCCGCGGAGAGGCGCCAGGCTGGGCCGGCGGCGGGAGGAGGAGCTGCCGCGCTCGCCAAAGGCGCAGGCCTGACAAGTCCTGGGCTGGTGTCACCACAGACTGTCGAGTGCGGGAGACGAAGTGCCAGACAGAGGCCAGGGCGGGGGCGGAGGCCCAGCGCCTCTACCCCCTACCCCCTCCCTCTGGCCCTCCCATGAGAAGCAGGGAGCGGGTGCCTGGGGGAGCCAGTGGTGCCCTGCACGCTGGAGAGAAAATCCTTTGAGATAGTGGAAAGAAACCGCAGATCAATCTGGTTGTGCCAGCCGCGTGTTCTGGAATCAAGAAGGCTAGGGGAGGGGGTGTTCATCGAGTCATTTTTTGTTCACAGTTAATGCCACTCCTTAAAGAGTCATTTTAAAATTTAAAATCTAATTTAGTATTGAAACCTATTTATGAATAGGTAAAAGTTTCAGCTACACAATGATATCATAGAAAATAATCAGACACTAAGTTATTTTGCAATGTTTTTTTTCACTATAGCACTAGTTGATTAAAAATAAATATTTACAGGCTGGGGATTTAGCTCAGTGGTTCTGCCACCTGCTTCGAAAGCACAAGGTCCGGAGTTTGATCCCCGGTACCTGAATGAATGAATGCATGAGTGAATATTTACCATCAACTTATATTCTGGTTGCACAGGCAAGAAAATATTCCTACACTATCCTTATGTTTATTGAATAAATTTAAAAGTTTCATATGAGCAGTTCCTGCATTACTTAAGGCTTATCATCAATTGTTTAGTTCTCCAAAAACGACTTTTCCATTCAGGAAGCTTTCCTGGTTGAACCTGGGTTCATAGCCAGATTGTGATGGTTATGGCCCCAGGTTAGCTCAGAGCATATGCAAACGTGGGTAAACTGGTGGCCCCTGCCAAGTCACAGCAGGATGGCACCCCCTCCCCGCCAGCTTCTTCCTGTCTTGAAGCAGCAGCAGCAGCAGCAACCAGATAGCTGCTGGATAGAGTAGTCAGGGAAACTTGATGGGTGGTAAACATTTCTCACCAGACTTGGGAGTGAGGCTGGCCATAACTTCCACCAGCACCTCAGAACCACCCCATATTTACATACTCAACAAACTGGAGACACCTTCAAAACTGAGTGCCAGGCCACAGGAGCCTTCCCTATCTCTGTCAAGGCCTCAGGGAGAGCCACCCTCTGCCTGTGGGCTCAATTTAAGTCCTCAGGTGCTGGAAGCACACACGGAGTTTTATTCCAGGTTAAAGTGTTTAGGAGGGTGTGGATATGTAAACTGTAGCTGGGGCCAACAGTTCTGTGCCAGGAAAGGACTAGGGGGTTAGGGGTGAGATGCCATCTGATCTGTGGGCACAGTTCAAGAGGAAAACCAACTAACAGCTGGATAACAGAATATCACCTATGGACCCAAGCAGTTCAAAAGCTGTGTTGGAGCCTGTGATAACATACAAAATCTAGAGTCTGCTTCTCCAGGTGGGCTGATGGATTGTGTCCTCAGGCTGCTTCAGAAGTAATGATAGTTTGAGGTGTGGGTGAGAGGCAGGGGTGGCCAGGCAGCCTCATAACAGTCAGAGCTTATATATACTCATGAAAATCCAAGAGGCAATTACTCCTCTAACTTCCATTTCTGTCTATTGAACTGAGAAACTGGGGCACTGGCCCAACACCACCCACCTCCAGTAAGTTTCAACTCCAGGAACGTGGGTCCAAAGCCAGATGGGACTATCACGCTAAAGAGAAGGAAAAGTCAGTTGGCGGGGGCTGGACTGTGTGAGTTGCCACCCCCAAACTAGTAGAGATCTAGGCACACCTGAGACAAGAAAATAAGTTTTTTTGGACTGATGTACATGTGAACCAGACGAGGAACTGGGATTTTCCATGTCCTCCAAGACGGTCTGTCCAGGCCCAGAAGCTGGGACCTGGGAAACTGCAAGTTGGCCTTCTCCTTGAGAGGCAAAGGGGAAATGCCAAGTGCCCAGGAAGGGCACTCTGTCTCCCCTACAAGCCCAAGTCAAAAGGCATGCTCTTGGGGAATGGTATGTGCTCCTGTAGCCCACAAAGGGTGAAGAGTTATAGTTCCTGAAAGCACTCTTCCATTTTTTGACGCTGACAACAGCATCCAAATGCTGGCAGCACTTGCCCTTTGCCAAGTTACCTCTGACTTGAGACCTTTTGGCCTCTTAGAAAGTAGAAGAGTGGCTTGGCCTGGAAGGGAGCATGAGAAAACAGCATTAGTTGTTGGCTGAAGTCACTGGCACCAGTACGCAGGCCACTAGGTCAGCATGGCCAGCCAGTGACAGTTACAGCAGGGAGATGACACCAAGAGAAAGTGACCAAACGACTTTGGGATAGGAGGTGCACTGAAAAGTGATGAGAGAGTTAAAATAACTCAAAATTTAATGGGATTTTGTGGAACATGCTAGAACACAGCAATAGCCATACTCAATAGTGAAACACAAGCACTAGGACACCTAGATCACCTGTCTGTTTCAGAACCATTATTTGTGCTGGATGGATGGCCCATGCCTGTAATTCCAGTTACTCAGGATGTTGAGACAGGAGGATTATAAGTTCCAGGCCAGCCTGGGTAACTTAGGTGACACTGTCTCAAGATAAAAAGGGACTAATGTCTTAGCTTGGAGTATGGTTATGTGCTCTAGGTATGGGTATACTAGGGTAACTGGCCGGTAACAGGCTGATGTCATGAGCAGTCCACTGTCAAAGCTGAGGTACGCATTCAGTATTTTTCAACTGAGCCACTGGAAATTCAACAATGGCTTCAAAGAGGCCTCAAAAACACTTTCATGGCTAGTTTTACACTTGAAGAGATGATTTAATCAGTGTTTATGGGGATGCATAGTGTGAAGTCCAAGGTTTCATTCTGGGGATAAAAGAGAAGTTTGCAAACACCAACATGAACTCTTCCTTTGCCTATGCTCTACCCTCTCGTGCTGGTCCCTGTGCAAAGTCCCCCACTCAACCTCCCTAGCTACTGGAACCCTGAGTTCCTGTCAGTTACCTGGGCCATTGGTATAGAGGGTCCAGCTCCTGACCCTAACATCAATGCTGGTGCTCCAAGGATCTGTGAAATGCCAGGGGTCTTGCTGTGACAGCTCCCACCGACCAGTGGCCAGAACCCTGGGAATGATGCAGACACACCAACACTGCTTCTTCCTGACACCTGCCAGGCATGGACCAGCCCCAGCGGCCTGTACCACTGACTTTGGTGCCCAGGCCCTAGACATGCTTCTCTCTGGCTCACTGTGGGATCACTCAGGCACTGAGTTCACTATGTCCCCAAACATCAGAGAGATGTATAAAAGCAGCCTTTTCTGTATTTTACGGCAGCCCACTCTAACAGACAATATACCCATACCCTTTTTAGTAGCCTATACAATGAATGCTAAGAGTATGTGCCAGCAGTGCTCACGCTGTTCTTCCTAGGGAGCCTGTGGAGTCAAAACTAGTTCAACCTCAGTCTTGTTTTGTTTTGTTTTTTGAGATAAGCAATCTGAGGTCTAGAGTGAAGCACTTTCTCAGGCTTGCATGGAGGTGGATGGGCCCCACTCAGACCCCCATGCAGTGGTGGAAGGCAGGCAAACCTGCTCAGGGCCCTCTGCCCCAGCTCCAGTGCGCCTTCTTTCCTCAGAAAACACCTGCCGAACTCATGAGAGCTGTGTCACAGGTGTTCATGCCAGTAGATTTCAACATTTGGGGATGGCTTTGAGGATCTGGAAAAAACAATGGAACACTAAACTCAAACATTAAATTCTGCCTCATGGCGGGTAAAAGTGAACATGAAACTCTAAATTCTATCCATGGGCCTCTGTTGTGAGCCCTTGGCATGAATTCTCAGGAAGGCTCCTTGCACTTTCATGTGAACTGACCTTGGGTGCTGGCCACACCAAATCCAGCACACATTAACGTATACTCCCAGCTGCAATTCCTGCTCCTCCTGTTGGCCGGTTGCGTAAGTACCTAAAAGGCAAGGAAGAAGAGGGCCACAAAAGAGGAAAGGCAGGTAAGGACAGACATGCACAGTCACACAAAAGATTTGACTCAGAAGCCAGAGCTCAGAATGGCTGCAGGGTCCCTCCTTGAAGCCCAGCCAAAAGAATCCTGCAGGAGCTAAGTAAGACTCACAGGAGTCCTCTAGCTGGACCAAACAGAAGCTGAATTATAACTACTGCATTTAAGTAGACTCCACTCAAAAGGAGGTTGGGGCACAGGCTTCAGCTGACCCTCTTCATGTCCACTTCCACTGAGGACAAAAATGCAGCCAGCCTCCTGCTCCTCCTAGTCGGCCCTGACACTTATCCTCCCTGCACTGCATCTTTGTAGGGGTGGAGATGGTACAGACTCAACTGGATCTGCACTCAAATCCCTGAGGTGAAACCAGACTCCGGCCCCCTGCACAAGGGGACACCAGGTCCCCCAAGGCACAGTCCCAGCCTGGTGCAGAGCCTGTACTCACGGCTCACACCCCAAACCCTGCAGCCCAGGCCTTTCGGATGCCTGGGCATGCCAGCCATTACTGCCACCTCTGGGCTGGGTCCGAGGGCATCCTTTCCATCCAGGAAGCCTGAGAGCTCTCAGCAGGGTGAAACCTTGTGTGTCTTCCGGTGCATCTCCTCACAGCCTCAGAAGATCTAAGAACCTACTTCTCCATCCTGAGCCATGCCCCACCCCACAGTGGACCTCTTTACAAAGGTGCTCTATGTTCTCCCTAGGACCCTCCTCACCCATACAGCAGCACACGCCAGGGTGGGTCCTGGATGCACATCACCCTCAACTGCCACTCTGACAGGGGTCTCCACTCTATCTTCTGCTTCTGGAAGACCAGGCTCCCGGGCAAGATGGGTACATTGCTCTCTGCTAGCCATCTGTGTGCTCTGTCCCGCATGACTCTCACGCAAGGACTCCGGAGTTCAGCAGCTGGGCTGCCTGGACTTCAGGTTTTCCAATTGACTCCTGCTTCTCTCAAATGGATTCCTAGAAAGCCCTTCCTTTGGTCAGGCTAAACCCAGCCCAGCCAAGCAGAGAGCATTTCAACTTTAAAGTCAACAGCCATTTCTCAATGAGGTTCCCAATTCTGCTTTCTTCCTTGCATAATGTTCCTGCTTTATGCTGACAGACAGAGAAGCAGACAAGATGATACACAGGCACAGGCAGAGCACAGTGGGCGCCAGGAGTGGACATGCCTCTCAGACCTGGCTACCCACAGCATGTGCCTTCAGGACCTCAGCAGGACCACGTGGAACAGCCAGGTCCGAAGAGGGTGTGCAGCACATGAGGGCTTTTCCCCAATCTGTTCTGAGAACTAAGCTCTTTTATTTTATTACTATTGCCATTTATTAATTGGCTAAAGCAAGACTCTTCCTCTGGAGAGCGTTTTCCACAGCCAGTTTCCTGCACTGGCCCTACCTCCTCCACACCAGCTCCTTCCTCTGCCTGGCTGCC